CATATTCCATATGGAATCCATCAGCACATCCCATTGGCTCTTCCTTGAAAATATAATCTGCCTAACTCACAACCTCCATCACCCTCCAGGTCCAAGCCTCCATAACCTCTTTATTACTGTCATTACTCAACTCTCTGTCTCTTGTCCCTAATTAGTCTCTCCTCAGCACAGCAACCAGAGTGATCCTGTTAATGCTTGATTCCAACCATGTCACTTTTTTGCTCCAAACTCTCCAATGGCTTCCCAAATCACTCGGCATTAAAGCCAAAGTCCCTCTGATTGCCTATGAAGCCTATCCTTTCCCACCCTCTCTAACCTCATCACGACCACTCTCACACTTGTTCACTCTGCTCCGGGCCCACGGGCTCCTTTGCTGCTCCTCCAATGACACAAATGTGCTGCCCCTTCCCCTCCCCCCATGTCTTTGCATGTTCTGTCTCCTTGTCCTGGAAGGCTCTTCCCCCAGATACCACTCCATCTCTGCCTTCACATTTTTTATCAAATGTCACCTTTTCAAGGGAACTTCTCTGACCATCCCATTTAAGATACAGTCTCCACCCCACCCTTTGCAATCTCAATCCTCTTGCCCTGTTTCGATTTTCCTTCAGAGCATTCATTATCAATTGACATACACTTTGTTTATTTGATTGTTGCTTATCTCCTCACATTACAATTTAAGATTCATGAGAGTAGGGATATTTGCAGGCTTTGGAAATTAGTACATTTTTTTAGCACCAAGAACAGCATAATAGACAACAACTCTCTGTTGAAAAATGTAGTAAACTGTCACAATTAAGATCTATAAACACATGAATTAAAGGTATGTACTGTAGTAGCTAGTCTCCAATATGTGGCCCAATGATCCTTATCTCTTACTAGTCATGTCCCTGTATAGTCACCCTCTCACATGTATCAGGGTTAGTCTGTGTGATCAATAGAATATGTGATGATGTGTGGCTGCCGGGAATAGATTATAAAACTGAGTACTGTTTCCACCTTGCTATCTTGGATCATTGACTCGGGGAAATCAGTGGTAATGTCAAATGCCCTATGAAATAGGTCACATGGCAAATAACTGAGATCTCCATCCAACCACCGACACCATTTTGTCAGCCATATGAGTGAGTCATCTTGGAAGTGGATTTCCCAGCCCCAGTCAAGCCTTCAAAAGCCTGCAGCTCTGGCCAGCCTCTTGACTACAACTTCACAGAGATTCCGAGCCAGATCTACTCTGCTAAGCTCTTTCCAAATTCCTGACCCACAGACTATGTGAATCTTTTTATAAAATGAATATTTATTGTTGCTTTAAGCTATTCATCTTAGAGTAATTTGTTATGAAGAAATAGTAACCATTACAGGTTTTTTGTACTTGGAAGTAAGGTGTTGCTATAACAAAAATCTAAAATGTGGGGAAGCTTTGGAACAGAGGGTAGAGGTCAGAAGGATTTTGAGAAGAGTGTTAAGTGAAGATCTAAGGGATTTTGAAGAGATTGTTAGCAGAAGTTCGATGACCTTTGAGGAGGCTGAAGGGAACGTGTTATTGGACATCAGAGAAAAGCGAGTCCTCCTTATTTAGTGGTATATTTGTGATAAATGTACAACTTTTTTCAGGCTTTGGCCTAAAGAAACTCACATATTTGTGATTCTTTTGGATTCTTTTTTGCCTCTAGATTCCAAAGAAACCATAGTGGTATTCCATGTTTTTATGACTTTAGGATTGCCTTTAATTAGACTTCTGTATTGCAGAAGTTCACACACGCACACACACACACACACACACACACAATGATTATATGTGTAGAGTCTGATGATAATAACAATAATTTAATTTCAAGAGTATCTACATAATCAGAGACTATTTTTCCTTAACGTCAGAAATGGCACCCCCATGATAATCTCTCTTTTCTGAGCTTAGCTCTCCTGCATCTTACTTAAATTGTTGGTGATCTTTAAATAACTGTGAAGTGAATACATGAATGCAGTGTACGTAAATATTTGCAGTCTGGAGTTATTTTGACTAATGCCAGCAGGTTTTCGGTTTATGAAAGAGTGACCTGCTAGCAATCCAAATAACAGAATGAGGTGCAGCAATAACAGGATCAGGGAAATGTTGGGTTGGGGATGATTCTTCAGGGGAACTGAGTGTATTTTATCTTGTTTGACCTTGCCGTCATGTGTTACAACAAGGAAACATATTCCCTGATTAAATATGAATGGGGTCGTCTTTGAATGTATAATCTGTGAGTGTCATCATTACCTTTAAGGAATCTGGGGGCAAGGTTCTTTCAGTTTGGTCTGCACAGTTGGTAAGTGGTGGGACTCTTCTGAAAGGACTCAAGGCCCAGATTTCTAGAAGCAGGTGGTGAGTGCCAAGGGACAGGGACAGAAGGAGGGTCCTAGCTACGGCTTTGTGCCTGTACTCGAAATTGTCACTGTAATGGGATGAGCTTCCTCCAAATAGTTTTCTTGCAAATACACACCAAGAAGTGCGCCTATGATCAAATCTCCAAGTCAAGGGAGAGATGTGGAATGCCCCAGTGTGATAAAAACAGATCTGACTTGTAACGTTGGCCTCCGCATCTGTCCAGTGATGTAAATGAACGCAGCAGTAGCTACACACCTCTCTCACTTCCTCTCTCCTGCTCAAGGAGGACTGTGAGAACTAACAGTTGATCAGAAAGCAAAGTTCCGATGGTATGTCACAGAAGAGCAAACTCGCAACGAGATCTGTGAAATCTGGCAAAGCACACAGCCAGTGTCCATTCAGCTAGCTTGGATCCGTGTCAGGGCAACTCCTCTCTGCAGAGCTAGAGGCTGTCCAGAGCCCTTTTTGTTAAGGAATGCCAGCGACCAGGGGAATCCCTGCCTCACTATTTGCATATAGATTGAGAAGGAAATGCAGATTTGATCATTTGGTTTCTGTGTAACTTTCTAGTCAAAATGAAACTAGCATGTGAATATTAGTGTGTGAACCTTCTTGGTACGAAGCCTGACTGCTGTGGCATTTCGGAAGCACACTGTGCAATAGCAGCACTCAATATATGCATTGTCCCTGCATCAAGTGACGGCCATGACTGCTCGTGCTCCAACCCCAGTGTTCTATAGGATCCGGCAACCCATTGTTTGCACACAAAGGTGAACAGCACATTTTCTGTGTGTTTGCAGCCTAGTCCTCTGTGAATGGATTTACTTTCAAAAGTAGTTTCAAAGATGGGGCGCCTGGGTGGCTCAGCCGGTTAAGCGCTCAGGTCATGAGACGTTGGCTAGGGCCATGATCTCACAGTTTGGGAGTTCAAGCCTGGCATCTGGCTCTGTGCTGACAGCTCTGAGCCTGGAGCCTGCTTCAGAGTCTGCGTCTCCCTCTCTCTCTGCCCCTCCCCTGCTCGTGCTCTGTCTCTCAAAAAATAAATAAATAAATGCTAAAAAATTTTTTTCTAAAGTCGTTTCAGAGATATGAAGGGTTGATTTTTTTCTTTGGTGGACATTCACGTTCATTGTTAAACCAAATCGCTATATGCAACCAGTGTTGACTTGAGTACACCAGGTTCCCCTAGCTAACCGCCACTTAACCAACCCCTGAGATGAACTGATGCAGCCTCCAGTCTCTCTGTAAAGCATCTGTCTGCTGCCTTCAGCAAGCTTAACACAAGCCATTGACATTCTCAGCATGTGCCTGGACACTTCTGCCACTGGTTGTTATGTCCGCTTGCCAAGAGTCAGTTTGTTTGCTCCCAGACACAATTTAAAAGGTTGCAGTTAAAGTTACAGTGTAATTAGGAATTATGTAAATGATGAAAAAGTAATGCAGAAGGAATGTTCCTAAGAAAATTAGGTTGTTTCGGAAAGACTTGATAAAGGTGAGGCACACCAAAAAAAAAAAAAAAAAACCAAACCACCAAAAACAAAAAACCACAAAAAACCCAAAAAACAAAAAAAAACCTGTCAGATTAGGAGTGAACAAATGACTATAAAAGACTGAAAATTCATCGCTAAAATCTAGCAGGATTGCCCTCAGATTGCTTCACGAGTGTCTTTAAGTTTTGCTCCACTTTTAAGAACGTGGAAAATTGCAGCTGATGCGTTAAGAGTGAGAGACTGAGTAGGTGGGTATTGTGATATTGTAATTTATAATAAGAAATATATATTTAGTCTTTGTCTATTTCTGGAACAGCAGTGCTCCTAAAACCCCTGGAATCTTTTAAGAGATGAGAGTGCCAAAGGTATCTTTTGTCATGTTAATGAGGCAACTTTTGGAAAGCCCCTAAAGATGGAGGCTGGCTGAGGGAACCTACTGAGCGGATCAGTCCCCAGCCTCCTGGGAGGGGAGAGGAGGTGGAGAGTGAGTTTGGCCACCAGTGGCCAATGATTCAATCAATTACACCTAAGTAATGAAGCCTCCTTAAAAACCCCAAAGGAGAAGTTTCCGAGAGCTTATGGGTTGTTGAAAACATGGATGTTCAGGGAAGGCGGTGCTTCCATGAAGCACGGAAGGTCTGTGCCCTTTCCCCATACCGCGCCCTATGTATCTCTTCCATCGGGCTGTTCCTTGAACCTTTTATAATAAAACAATCAGCTAGTAAGTAAGCTGGTTTCTTGAGTTCTGTGAGAGGCTCTAGCAAATTAACTGAACCCGGGAAGCGGGGACAAGCGAACCTCTGTTCCATAGCCAGTGGGTGAGAAGTGAGGACTAGTGACAATGCGGACAATGAAGGGGTAAGGGTGGAAGCAGGTGAGAGTCTTGTAGGAATCTGACACTGTCTCCAGGTAGATGGTGTCAGAATTGAGTTGAATTGCAGGACACCCCGCAGGTATCAGAGAATTGCTTGCATGTGTGGTGAAAAGCCCACATGTCAGAATCAGTACCAGAATTGTTCGTTGGTGTTAGAAATGGAGCTGGTGATCCAAAGCGAGATGAAAGTTAGAACTGTGGGTAGAAAACACAAAATGAGTAGGGACACTTTTATCAGGAAACTGAAGTCCAAAGACAAAAAAAGAAAAGGAAAGAAACCCAGGAAGTGCCATCTTCCAGTAATTCACCAAAATGACCAACACAAAAGGAAAGAGGAGAGGCACTCACCATATGTTCTCCGGCCCTTTTAGAAAACACAGAGCTGTTCCTCTGGCAACATTTGATGTTGTGGACATCAAGGCAATGGGCATTGCTGCAAAAGAATTGCCCCGCAAATGTTACCACGGCAAAACTGGAAGAGTCTACAATGTTACCCAGCATGCTGTTGGCATTGTTGTAACCAAATACGTTAAGGGCAAGATTCTTGCTAAGAGAATAAATGTATGTATGGAGCATATTAAGCACTCAAAGAGCCGAGATAGCTTCCTGAAGCGTGTGGAAGAAAGTTATCAGAAAAAGAAGGAAGCCAAGGAGAAGGGTACTTGGGTTCAACCAAAGTGCCAGCCTGCCCCACCCGGAGAAGCACGCTTTGTGAGAGCCAACGGAAATGAGCCTGAGCTGCTGGAACCCATTTCCTATGAATGCATGGCATGATAAATGTAAGAACAATAAATAAGTAAGAAAAAAGACCTCAAGACTGTAAAAATGTTTCTCTTAATTGAGTGGAAGTGTGGGTGTCCTCTCCCCCAAAGAGGGACTTAAAACAAACTTTAATTGTGTCCAAAAAAAAGAAGAAAGAAAAAACCCAATAAAAATAGTAAAGCCACATAGTGCTTGATATGTGCCATGGATTGCTTAGACACTGGAAACATTTTCTTCATTTCATTGTCATAATAACTCAATGAAGGAGTAAGGAGGTAGTGCTGTTATCACCATTTTTGAGACAGAGCAATGCAGAGTTTCCTACTCTAGATAACCCAAGGGGAAAGAGAATGGCTGCATTCAGATGCAGGTGGCCACCGCCTTCCACTAGCTCAGTTCTACAGTGAAAGATTTAAATGTTTTAAATAAGAACAAAATTAAGATATGTTTGAGCCATTAAAATTATTTATTATGGAAATATTAGAGTCTGTATAAAAGTAGAGAGAAGAGTGAGTATATGATGAGATGTACCCATCACTCAGGTTCAACATGATCAATTCATAGCCAGTCTATAGTGCATCTACTCCCCATTCACTCCCTTCTGCTCTCAGAATATATTAAAGTGAATCCTAGAAATCATATTTTCATCCATAAACATTGCAAAGTGCATCTCTAGAAGAAAAGGCTTCTTTCTAAAAATTTTTTTATTTTTAAAGATTTTTTTAAGTTTATTTTGAGAGAGAGAGAGGGAGCATACATGTGTGCACATGAGCAGGGAAGAGGCAGAGAGAGAGAGAGAGAGAGAGAGGATCCCAAGCAGTACCCACACTGTCAGCCCAGAGCCTGACATGAGACTAGAATTCACAAATTGCGAGATCATGACCTGAGCCGAAATCAAGAGTTGGTCCCTTAACCGTCTGAGCCGCTCAGATGCCCCATGGATTTCTTTTTAAAAGTGTAACTAGAATATGATCGTCACACCTGAAAAATGAACAATAATTTCTTAACTAAATCAAATATCAAGTCACTATTTGAATTTCCCTGATTGTCTCTAGGATTTTTCCTCCAAATAGGATCCAAGTAAGATCACTGCAATTATTTCTCTTTAATTGTAAGCTACCCTTTTCTCCTTTTGCAATTTATGTGTTGAAGAAACCAAATCCTATGTCCTATAGCTTCCCACAGTATGGATTTTGCCAATTCTATGCTGCCCTGCATCCCCTCTCCCCTGCCCCCAGCATCATTGAAGAGGTTTCATGTCTTCTATATTTCTTATAAATTGAGAGTCACAGCTAGAAGTGCAATCTTCTTCTAAAGGTAACCAGGAAGGTTTTTAGGAGTGATTTTAAACTTCTAGGTTTAAAATATTGGGGTGCCTGCCTGGCTTAATCGGTAGAGCATATGACTCATGGTCTTGGGGTTGTAGGTTTGAGCCCCACGTTTGGTGTAGAGATTACTTAAAAATAAAATCTTTAAAGTAAATAAAATAAAATAAAGTAAAATAAAATAAAATAAAATAAAATAAAAAGGTAAAATAAAAACTGATGTGTTGCTATCCAGTGCAGCTGAGGGGAACCTCTTCCATTTGGCTCATGAGTACTTTTGACACCACTTCTAGTCTTTGGTAGCCTCCTTGCTTTCCATAATGGCTGGAATGTTCCAGGTTCACTCTACTGTATATACTATCTTTAATGATATCTCTCCATATTATTCTTTTTCAATTAGCTGATCTACAGCTGGAAGGCATGGTTAGTTAAGCTTCCTGGATTCATCTTCCAGCTTTTACCTGGTTTGCTACATGACTTGGGCAAGTATTTTGCTTTGCCTCAGTTCTGCATCTATAAAATGAAGGCAGTAATAATTGTACTTACCTCACCTGTTGCTATAAGGATAAACTGAATTAATATATGTAAATCACTTAGTACAGTACCTGGTACACAGCAAAAACTCAACAAATGTTAGTAATTATCATTAGGTTTAATAAGACTGCTTTTAGTATATCACCCTTCTGAATTTTTTTAAGTTTGTCTGACATACTTGTGATCATACTTTATATTGATTTGTTTCCTTTTATTTTTCACGTAAACCTAACAATATAGACATTTCATATCTAACAAATACAAGCTCTCTCTTTCTCTTTTATTTATTTATTTATTTTTATTTTTATTTTTTTTTTCTG